ACCAGAGAACTTTGTATTTGGACCAAATAATTCCTTTACGCTGAATCATATCCGAAGCCCCTTTCCATGTTATGAGAATCCCATATCCTGTGAGGCAGGGACTCCATCCCAAAAAAGAAGCCAAAAATATCCCATACTCACTTCCTTTGCAACTCAGGTGTAGCCATGTGACCCAGGCTCTGCCAATTAGAGAGACCCGTTGCAGTGACGTGAGGGGGATCCCCTGTGGGATCCATTATGCAAGTGGCAACAGCCACATCCAGGGTCCAGATATGACAAGTCTTAGCAATGAGCACAGTCATCTCTGTGGGCCCCTGAGCACCTCCCACCGTTCTCTGCCCTGCCCTTCCTTCCTGAAGTTTATCCTTCCCCCCCTCTCTCTATAATTCTACTACCAGGGAGCCTGGGTGGCTTAGTTGGTTAAGCGACTGCCTTTGGCTCAGGTCATGATCCTGGGGTCCTGGGATCGAGCCCCGCATCAGGCTCCCTGCTCCACAGGGAGGCCTGCTTCTCCCTCTCCCACTCCCCCTGCTTGTGTTCCTGTTCTCGCGTGCACGTTCTCTCTCTCTGTCAAAAAAAAAGAACTTAAAAAAAATTCTACTACATGTTTGTATCCCTCAGTAATACCTTGTTTTGTTTTGCAGGGTTTGGAACTTCATACAGATGGAATCATACGGTATGCATTGTTCGGCCTTTTGCTCAACACTGTTTCAGAGATTTGTCCATATTGTTGCTTGCAGCTGTAGCTTATTGATTTTTTACCCCAGGGGATTATTCCATTGCATGAACACATCACAGTTTATTTACCCATTCCACTGCAGAGGGATAGCTGGGCTGTTTCTAGACTTTTTCTTGTTCATCTCTCTTGCTGTATTTGGCTAAGGGAAAAAGAAAAAGCTCCCCTCTGACAGAGGCTGGAAGGAGTACAGGGTACATCTCAATACTGCTTGGCTTGGTTTTGTATAGGGCATAAAGAGGTTAAAAAATGGTCTCTGTCACCTTATATCTCAAAACTTTGATTTCATCGTGACGAAGAAAATCAAAGCAAGGCCTAGTGAAGCGAGGGGAATTACCTGGAACTGTAGCAGTTTCAAAGACATGATGTGGCAGTGACGCCAGAGGACAGAGTGACAAGCATGGCCTTCCATGACGGACGTCCGTGAACAGTAAGGTTGGAAGCACCAGCAAGGCCCAGGCAATTATTTACATCCATATAGAAATTTGAAGACATACTGAAATGTGAAGAAGTCTGGGAAATTTCTCAGGCAACCAACCTACTGGCCAAGAAATATTTGTTAGGTGTCTACTTTGTGCAAGGCATTCTATTAGGTATTGCAGGAAGTACACAGATGTTTACAAGATGCAAGAAAAGATGCTCTAGACCTTAAAGAGCTTATATGTTGACTGTCACTAGACACAGATATAAGGGCATGTGTGCTAAGGGTCAGATGAATGGCTAGGAATATAACCTCTGTAAGCTTTCTGCTTTACCCTTGGATTGTGACCTCTGTGAGAGCAGGGACTGAAGCAGTTTTCTTTCTTTTCTTCCTTCTTTCCTTTCTTCCTCCCTTTTTTCCTTCCTCCCTTTCTCTCTCTCTAAGACTTTATTTATTTACTTGAGAAAGAGAGAGAGAGGGAGAGAGCACAAGCAGGGGAGAGGGACGGAGGGAAAGCGAGAAGCAGACTCCCCATTGACAAGGGAGCCTGATGCGGGACTTGATCCCAGGACTCTGGGATCATGGCCTGAGCCGAAGTCAGATGCTTAACCAACTGAGCCACCCTGGAACCCCAGCAGTCTTTCCATTGTGTCCCCACAGTTTTGGATGAATGTGTGAATGAAGTGTCTGGAATCATCAGGAAAGACTTTGTGGAGAAGACAGGTCTTATTTATTTATTTAATTTTAATTAAGTCAATTAACATATAGTGTAGTATTAGTTTCTGGGGTAGAGGTCATTGATTCATCAGTTGCATGTAACACCCAGTGCTCATTTTATCACATGTCCTCCTTAATGCCCATCACCCAGTTACCCCATCCCCCAGCCACTTCCCCTCCAGCAACCCTGTTTGTTCCCTGGAGTTAAGAGTCTCATGGTTTGTCTCATCTCTGATTTCATCTTATTTTATTCTTCCCCTCCCTTGTCCTATGATCATCTTTTTTTCTTTCTCGAATTCCACATATGAGTGAAATCATATGATAGTTGTCTTTCTCTGATTGACTTATTTCGCTCAGCATAATACCCTCTAGTTCCATCCACGTTGTTGCAAATGGTAAGTCTTCATTCTTTTTGGTGCTGAGTAATATTCCATTGTATATATGAATCACATCTTTCTTTTTTTTTTAAAGATTTTATTTATTTGACAGAGAGAGACACAGCGAGAGAGGGAACACAAGCAGGGGGAGTGGGAGAGGGAGAAGCAGGCTTCCCGCGGAGCAGGGAGCCCGATGTGGGGCTCGATCCCAGGACCCCGGGATCATGACCTGAGCCAAAGGCAGACGTGTAACGACTGAGCCACCCAGGCGCCCCTGAACCACATCTTCTTTATCCATTCATCTGTCGATGGACATCTGGGCTCTTTCCATAGTTTGGCTATTGTGGACATTGCTGCTATAAATACTGGGGTGCAGGTGCCCCTTTGGATTACTACGTTTGTATCCTTTGGGTAAATACCTAGTAGTGCAATTGCTGGGTCGCAGGGTAGGTCTATTTTCAGTTTTTGAGGAACCTCCATACTGTTTTCCAGAGTGGCTGCACCAGCTTGCAGTCCCACCAGCAGTGTAAGAGGGTTCCCTTTTCGGAGAAGGAAGGTCTTGGTGGGAAAGCTGAAGGGAGGTAGCACTGACTCTGAATAGTAGGAAAGAGGATATGGAGGAAGTAAAGGGGCTAGCCCTTGGAATTGGGGATTGGAGAGAGGAGGAAGCCAGGCTGTAGCCAAGAGCTCTTCAGGGAATGAAGTGGGGGGATGTCTGGAAGGGCGGGGTGGGGCCCCAAAGTCAAGCTCTTGAATGCCCAGTTAAGGAGTTTAATTTTATTCTACAGTTAGTGAGAATAACTGCATTGCAGTGCATTGAGCAGGGGAGAAAAACTGTTTTGGGAAGATTTATGTTTTAGAGGGATGCAAAAAAGAGTGTGTTAGATAGGTGCCAGAGAAAACTGGGATCCCTATCTCTAGCTTGGTTGGGGCTTATTTGCACAGTAGCAGTTGGAGGATGCCCAGGGGTGGTAAGAAGGGACAAGTCCTGATGCACAAGCACTTTTCAAAGTAGCTTCATAGTTTCTACTGTTCTTCTGGCCAAAGCAAGTCACCTGTTCAGGCCCAGATTCAAGGGGGTGGAAAATAAACACCATTTCTTTCTTTCTTTCCTCCCTTCCTTTCTTTTCAAAAGATTTTGTTTATTTATTTTACAGAGACAGCTAGAGAGGGAACACAAGCGGGAGGAGTGGAAGAGGGAGAAGCAGGCTTTCTGCTGAGCAGGGATCCTGATGCAGGGCTCTATCTCAGGACCCTGGGATCATGACCTGAGCTGAACTCAGATGCTTAATGACTGAGCCACCCAGGCGCCCCAACACCACTTCTTGATGGAAGGAGGGGCAACGCCACAAGGCAGGGAGGGGTAAGCTTCTGGCCATTTTTGAAGGCTCCTACCCTGGGCTAAGGACTAAAGAAAACATAAAGTTCTAGATGCTTGGAGGTTGGGTTAGAAAGAGCAGAAATACATGCACCCACTTTCTGGAACACGCCTAAATACCTTACATCTTAAAATCTGATCTGCTTACCCTCTGATCTGGAGGGATTAACCCAGAAGTTATGCAGATCATTTTGGACAAGTATTTAACCCAGCTCTCAGAACCTGGGTGTCTAGAAAAACAGATTCAGATACTTTGTCTTTCCCTGGTTCTTTTGGACTCTGAGACATTTTAAAAATAAAAGTGAACACTGCCTTTAAGCAGTTGGAAGCATTCCTGGTTTCGTATCAGCCTATGGCTGCAGGGGCACCCCCTCAGAACAAACCTCATGTTCTGAGCCCTCCCACTACCAACAATTTAACAGCCTACCGCATCATCAGCACAGTATATGCGGTTGACACGATTTTTGGAGACCTTAACATTTTTTTTTGAGTCATGAAAACATTTTTAACTCAGAATTGCAGAAGATACTGAAAAATCTAAATGCACATATATCATTAAAATAACTTGAAAGCAATTTCTAGATTTTCTTACTTCGTTAGAATTTTCGGTTAGAGATGCCCCCCAATCACACAGCCAACAGCAATTTAAATGACTTCTTTATAGTCAAATAAATCCAAAAGTAAAACGATAAGTATTCCTTCAAACTCAGTTTCATGGCAAAACCCCCAAAAAGATACTGAACGTACAATGGGGATGAATGACTGCGTTCCGTATGTTTGGAGGTCCCTGATATAAACGTCTGCGAGCGTCTCCGGGGGGTCGCAAAGCACCCCGGGGGCAGGGAGGGCGACTCTGCCGAGGTGGCAAGGGCCCCACTTTCAGGGCTCTGTACGCCTTCCAGGCGGGGGAACCCGTTATCAGATCCACAGAAGCCAGGGTTCCAGGGGCCCGCCCCAAACGTGTCCGAGGCAAGTCCCTCCCGGCCTTTGACCGGCTTCGGCGGAGCGCAGTTTTCGGGGGAGGCCTCCTGCTTGCCTCTGCGCAGTGCTCTGCCGGCGGTGCCGGGCGCCGGGCCACGATGATTCCCTCTGCCGGGAACAAGTGCACCGAGACCGCGGCCGGCCGCCCGCCCGCTACTGCTACAGGAGGAAGAACCTGTTCCCGCAGACCGAGCCCCGTCCCGTCCCCGCCCGGCCGGGTACCGGTCCTGACAGCCGGGCTCCGGCCCCCACGTCCTGGGGGCGTGGCCCCGCCGCCCCTCCCCCACAGGCCCCGCCCCTCGGCGGCCCCGTTCGCAGACGCCGCGGCGCGCTCCTCTGACGCGCGGCGCCTTCCTCTGACGTCAGGTGCCGCCCCGGCCCCGCCCCGCGCGCGCCCTCCGCAGCTAGAGCGGCTTCGCCTGCGGCGGCGGCGGTCGCGGCAGCCGGCCGTGCGGACGGCGGCCCGCTGTCAGTCCGCGCCCGTCCCGGACCGGCGGGCGATGGTGCGGCGGAGCGCGCGGACGCGGGCGGCGCGGCGGCGGGCATGAGGGAGGATGGAAGGGCAGGACGAGGTGTCGGCGCGGGAACAGCACTTCCACAGCCAAGTGCGGGAGAGCACGGTGAGCCGGCCCCCGCCCCTGCGGCCGCGCCCCCGCCGCCCCCGCCCCGCGCCCGCCGCGCCCTCGGCCACGCCCCCGCCCTCCTGCCCCGCCCCCCGCCGCGCCCGGCGCCCCCGGCCCCGGTGCTGGCCGCCTGCTGCCCCGCGCCCCCCGCGCCCGAGCTCCGGTGGGCGCCGCGCCGCGCAGCCCCTGCGCGGGCCCCTCGGCGCCCTTCTCGGAGCGGGGGCTGCGCGCCGGCCCGGCCCGGCCGCGGGCCGCAGCCCCGCTCTCCGGCTCCGCTCCGTTGGCTCAGAGCCCCGCGGCTTTGGGTGGGAGCCCGGCGGGGCAGGCGGCGGCGCCGGGGCTCCGGTTCCGCGCCTGCTGCTCCGCCGCGGACGTCGGCCGCGGCGAGCTCTCGTCCTGCGCCGCCGCTCGGTGCGCTCGCGTCCGTGTCTCCGTGCCTGCTCCGCGGGGCCGCTTTGCGTGTTCACGCCCCGCCTCTGCTGGCGGCTCCCGCGTTCGGCCGCGAGCCTCGAAGCGCGTGAAGAGTTGTGCTGTGGGGTCGCCTCCCTTGTGTCCCTCCGGTCCCGGAGGGTGAGAGTCGCCTCGCGCGGTCGGAGCTCGGATCGAGAGCGCTGTGAGCGCTGTGGTCGCGCGGCCGTGGCGCAGCGCCCTCTCCGCCGACGCGCGCTTCGGTCCAGCGCGTCCTGGCGCAGCGCCCTCTCCGCCGACGCGCGCTTCGGCGGTTCCCGGGCTCTGTCCTGCGGCTCGTGTGCGCGTCTCCGGCGCGGGGCTGCGCCCCGGAGTGGGACGGCTTGGCCGCCGCTTCCCGGGGGCTTGTGCCGGCGTGCGCTCCCACAGCTCTGCGTGCGGGGCCTGCTGGCTGCTGCTCCTTACCCACGCTCAGCGTGTCCCCTTAATCCAAGCCGTTGTAGTCAGCGTCTCACGTTCACTGCGCGGAAGTTGTGTTTGCACTTCCCTGGGGATTGATGAACCTGAGTACCTCTTCATCTGTTGTCATTCGCAGCTCTTGGGAAGCATCTCCAGGTCTTTCCCCCATTTTTAAACTCGTCCTTTAATCTCTTAAATACTGATTTCCAAGTGTTCTTTATGTTTTCCGAATATGATACTTTGGTCGGATTATGTATTGCAATTTTTTTTTTCCATTTTGTGGATGCTTTAACACTCAGTGATCTATCTCCTGATGAGAAATTCTTAATTTTCATATAGTCCGCTTTAACAGGAATTGTTTTATGGTCAGTACTTTGTGTCTTGTTTAAGAAATCGTTGCCTACTCCGAGATTATGAAGATATTCTCTGTGTTTTCTTTAAATGCTTTATTGATCTACTCTACCCATTCAGATCTGCAGTTCATCTGGAACTTATTTTTTGTGTATGTTTTGTGGTAGGAGTCTTTTTTTTTCCCCCCACCTGGATGTCCAGTCGCTTTAGCACCATTTATGACGTTTGTCATGACTTAGGTAATTATAATTGTGCGGTTTAATTTTGTAATCCAAGCTGTTCCATTGATCTGTTTGTTTTTGGCTTTACTTTTTAATTAGATACTCTGTCATTTGGATTGAGAGAAGGACTCATAGTAGCCAGGAGCTTTATTACCTTTGCTACTCTGAAAACAACTTAGTTTTGGCACTGATTTTAAAGTTCCTTAGTTCTGCCCCTTGTCACCCCAACTTCCTCTGAACCAGCGCCTCTGGGTGGTAAATGTACTCCACCCTCTACAGAAGCTGTGCAGAAGTGAACAAGCTCATTGGGTTTCCCGTCTTCAGCATTCTTTTCTCAGATTATTCATACTTAGAGTGAGCATAGATAGTTGAGTTTTCTCTAGGACATGTTGCCAGTTCTCTTATTTAACTCTTTTTTGGTTTTGGCATGTAATACTGTAAGTTTTACCTTTCTTTCTGATACAATATACATAGCATGTGATTAACATTTTTAAGTGTACAATTCAGTGGCGTTAAGTACATTCAGTCTCGTGCAACCATCACCACTGCACATCTCTAGAACTTTGCTGTCATTCCAAACTGAAACTGTCCCCATGAGTCATTAACTTACCATTTCTTTCTTCTTCCAGCTCTTGGTAACCACCATTCTACTTCTGTCTCTGTGAATCTGATACAAGTGGAATCATACAGTATTTGTCCTCTCATGTCTGGCTTATTTCAGTCAGCATAAGGCTTTCAAGTTTCATGCATCTCATAGCATGTGTCAGAATTTTTTTCCTTTTTTAAAATTGGATGATATTCACTTGTATGGACATAACGGTATTTTGTTTACCCATTCGTTCATCTCTGGACATTTGGATTATTTCTTGGCCTTTGTAAATAGTGCTGCTATGAACATGGGTATACAAGTATAAATACCTCTTCGAGACCCTGCTTTCAGTTCTTTTAGGTATGTGCATACCAAGAAGTGGAATTGTGGGATCACATAAAAAAAAAAATTCTGTGTTTAATTTTTTTGGGAAAAATGGCTGTTTGCTGCAGTGCCTGTACCATTCCACAGTCCCACCAGCAGCGCTCCAGGATTCCAGTTTTTCCACTAACACGTGTTGTTTTAAAATATGATTGTTATCCCAGTGGGTGTGCAGTGGTATCTCATTGTGGCTTTTATCTGCATTTCCCTGACGGTTAGTGATGTTGAGCACTATTTTATGTTCTTCCTGGCCATTTGTATATCTTCTTTGGAGAAATATCTATTTGAATCCTTTGCCCGTTTTGAATTGGGTTGTTTTAGTTGTTGACTTTCAGGAGTTCTTTATATATTCTGGATATTAATCCCTTATTAACTATGAAATTTGCAGATATTTTCTCCCATTCTGTGGGTTGCCTTTTTACTCTATTGATAATGTTCTTTGATGCACAAAAGTTGTTAATTTTGATGAAGTTCATTTTATATATTTTTTTTCTTTTTTTGCCTGTGTTTTTGGTGTTTTGTTAAAGAAGTCATCACCGAATCTAATGTCATGAAGATTTCCACCCATGTTTTCTTCTTAGACTTTTAACTCTTACATTTGGGGTCTTTGATCCGTTTTGAGTTAATTTTTGTGTATTGTGTAGTGTTTAACTTATAAATACTCATGTAATAATCCTGTTTTGTCTTTAGTATTATGAATATCTCAGAGTTCTCTTGTCAATTATTTCAATGATGACGTAGCTAAAATCTATTAACCAGGTGGCAGTGATCTATTTTCTTTCTTCCTGTTGCTGGCTTTTTTTTTTTTCCTTTTTCTTTTGAACTTCAGGTGCACAGAATTGGATTAATTATAATCCTTGGTTCATACACAGATTTTTCATTGGTTCATGTGTGACCTGCTTTTGATTAACCGATTTTTAAATAGTATGCAAACATGAACTGTTACCCAGGATACTAAACCACTGACTGGAGCTTATTAAATATCCAGCAGGAGAACTGAAATATGGACAGTAATTTATATGTTCCTGTTCTTTATACCTGCCATAGTTGCACAGCATCACTTGTCTTTTGGTCCATCTGTTCTTCTTTAAGTAGGCTCCACACCTAGCATGGAGCCCAATGGGGGCTTGAACTCGCAACCGTGAGATCAAAACCTGAGCTGAGATCAAGAGCTGGTCGCTTAACTGACTGAGCCTCCCAGGCACCCCAGTACTCTATTCTTTGAGTGCATTTACTTAGATGGTACCTTCCAAATGGTTTTCTTATGTTGCCACTTTCACTGATATAGCTGCTACTTTAAAATGGTCACAGATTAATACGTAACAGTACCAAAATATCCTCAGAATCCCTTCACTAAATTAATAATAACATTTATTGAGTGCTTACTAGGTATCTCATTTGAGTTTCACAACAAGCATATGAAGTAGGTATTTCGCAGCATGTAGCCAAGGTGGCATAGTCAGCGTGTGATGGAACGAGAGTTTGAATCCAGGCAGGCTGATTTCATGGCCTGTACTATATTTACAGCCCTATAAAGCTTAAACCTCCACCATAACAGGGTTATGTGGGATCCAACTAGGTTGGTTACATAAAATGCTTGTTGTCAGGCTAATGAAAGGACCAAGGAGAACTTAACGAAACTAGCGGGCAGGGAATTTTGGGGTCTAGCTGCACAATTTAAATTCTTCCTTATTCTGGCTATGGTTTAAGCTCCCTAACTTGGCTGTAGTATTTTTGGTGCAGTTCTGGGGTTCACTAGGACTTCTACAACAGTGGAGATTTTAGGACCCTCTAATTTACTTGGCTTCCTTTTGGCCACATAGAGTGGGGATATAATGGAGATGCCAGGAATCATGCTCTCTTTACTGCTTCCCTAGGTGAGTTTACCTGCCTTTTTCTACCAGGGTCTTGCCTTCATCTCCATGGCTCACTCCATGTACTGCAGATAAAAACTTTAGCCCTTCCCTCTTGAGAATAGAGGTTGGGCAGAAGATGGGAGCCAGTCATCAGTCTTGTATCTAAATTTGAAATGCAGTTGTCTGGAGGTCTGTAATTTTTTTCTGAGCTTTGTCACTGCTCTCCAGCCAAACACCACCAGGAATATACCTGTAGTTGGACAAGTTGCGTTGATTGCATGTTGCAGTAAGGGAAAATGCACACCATTGGGAATTGTGGGGTGTTTCAATAAGAGAGCATTTGAAAGGAACTTTTAAAAATAGGATTTGGGCTTGTGCGGGGTGATTTGGAAAGAGTTTAAAGAAATGGGGCTTTGATTTGTATTGGATGCTGTTAGGAAGCAGAGATAATTCTATGATTGAGTATCTTAATCTTATATAGAAGGAAAGAAGACTGGGTGGGGTGAAGTTAGAACTTATTGGTAAAGAAGCAAGTCATTCATGTAAGCCATGGTGGGGAGATACTTAGTCATTTTTATGATTTGGATGGTATTCATGTTTTTTGCTTTGTTCAGGCATGATTACAGAGTGATGTTGTTTATTCTTTGTCCATTATGGTCACAGAGTGCCCTTCTCTGATGTTGATGTTCTCTGAAGAAGTTGTTTATTTTCAAGGGGAGAATCATCAGGACC